CTTCCTTCCTTCCTTCCTTCCTTCCTTCCTTCCTTCCTTCCTTCCTTTCCTCCCTCCCTCCCTCCTTCCTGCCTTTTTGTCTTCCTGCCTTCCTTCCTTTCTCTCTAGGCAGTAGTTTGGATAACTGGTAGTGGAAATTTTGAGTAGTTCGGAATACCACCTCTGACTGGCCCTGCGCCCATCTATTCTCTGCTTCCCAAGTCCCAGTTGCCCTGCACAGGAGAATGGAGCTGGAAAGCAGATTAGTGAGGTGGGGAGAGAATGGAGATTTTACAGTATCCTCTGCTGCAATGTCCACCAAGCCACACCCACCAAGCCACACCCACAGAACCGGTAGTAAAAATATTTGAACCCCACTACTGATTCAAGGTTTGTGTAAACATGGATGAACCATTTTAGTTGCTTAATACTGTTGACATAGTGCTGCCAATCTTTAAAGTCAAAGTCGTTTTTCCTCAACTGAAAATGGGGAGACCAGAATTGAATCTGGATTTTTTTTGTCAAAGTGTGCTCCTCCACATGTCACTGCATTTCATAATTTGATGGGATGGGATGAACAAAGAAAAGACCCTCTTGAACTCACTATAAAGCATAAATAAAAGGATGAAACTTACCTGGCCTTACAACCAGCCTAGTCCCACTTCCAAAGATCACCTTACCGTATCCACTATTAGACACAGTGCTTCCTGCCTTAACAAAAACATATTCTTCTCCCAAATATGCTTTTCCAAAAGGCAACTAGACTTTCTAGGGGTCTTTTTCCTCTTGAAAACAATTTGGTTTTCAATCAAGAAAAAGCTTCTTATCCTGCCTTCAAGTTTTGGGATGCTTTTTGGATGAGAAGTGAAACGTTTTCAAGGAAAAATATTCAAGGAAGCTCCATTTCCTTTTGAAAAGCACTGTTCAGACAACCATGACCTGGATGATTGAAAATCTCCATAGAAAATATGTCCTCTTATTTGTATCAGCAATTATAACTTCCTTTTGAAAAGCTAAATCTCTAGGAAAAAAATGTTGAGCACTATTTCTTGAAATTGTCTCCCAAAAGGAATTGGGGAGGAGAGGGGAAATTAAAATATGGCAACAACTGGATAGAAATATCAAGATTCCCAAACCTTATCATGATACTGTATTCTTCTGCTGATAACAGAAATTAAACAATGTTATAGATGGATTCAACCCTTGAAAGAAGGTGTGTAATACTTTCACAAGTTCATTTTCATATCAGTTATTTAATGGCATTCACTCTCAATTTTGCAAAATCAATGTGTACTCTTTATGCACATTTAAGCTTAGTGCAATTGTCACCTGTTAGTATCTTGACTGCTCCTTAGTACATTTTTCCAGTGTATTCATGACATTTTTTCTGTTGTTATGTCAAATGCATATACTTATCTGAATACTTGGACATATGCACACAAAATAGGAAAATTAATGTTAGGAATGGATTGTTTTGAGCTGACCACAATGACTAAAATAAAGAGATAAAACTTACTTGGCATTACAACCAGCCTAGTCCCACTTCCAAAGATTATCTTGTTGCCCAAGCCAGACACAGTGCTTTCTGCCTTGACAAAAATACCCCTTGCATTTTGCATCAGAATTGTGCCTTCCTTTTAAAAAGATGAGTCTCTAGATTTTAGGACCAAAATGTCAAGGATTGTGACTACTGGAACTATGAAACCTTTTGACATCTATACCTATAAAATAGTTTTCTTCCTGATTCTAGTTTCTTTCCTGGAGGTGTGAATCCACTCTGCCTTTTCAATCCCATAATTTCCAGACTTTTTAAAAATGTTTCCAGACTCTTCCTTACTGTGCCCTCCAATTTATCAGTTCACTAAAAGCCTCTGTGAATATATTAAATCACAGTCTCTTTAAAGAGCTAAGGCTCCATCCTACAATTCGATATAACTGGTCATCAAGTAAACCCTATTGAATTCAGAGCTCCTTATTTCTGCATAAATAGGGAATGACCAGGTTAATTTATTAATGTCTGTTTTTCAAATAATTTTGAAAATGGAGGAAAAGGCCCTTGATTCTAAGTTTATTAGATTCTAAGTTTATCTTTTGCTTACATTTTTTATTTTATTTCCAAAGTTAAAATACAAAATATAGGGGGAAAACAAGAAACAAACTAACAGGTAGGTATTCTTAATTTCTTACTATTTTTCATTTGTTCAGCCCAACGTAAGACTCCCCCCCTCTCTCTCTCTCTCTCTCTCTCTCTCTCTTTCTTTCTTTCTTTCTTTCTTTCTTTCTTTCTTTCTTTCTTTCTTTCTTTCTTTCTTTCTTTCTTTCTTTCTTTCTTTCTTTCTTTCTTTCTCTCTCTTTTCACCTCTTTCTTTGTTTCTTTCATATATATGCCAAATGGTACATACATTTTGAAAGAAAAGAATAGAAAACTGGTTTCTGGAGTTTTCCATCTTTTTACATTTGAAACTGTCCTGAATTTTTAGCTTTAAACCTTCTGAAGCTGAGGAATAACTAGACAATAGAAGCATTGCCATGAGAGTTTACCATTGGAAAGAAATATATTAAGCAAAAATGAGTGGAGAGGAAAATGTGCATTATACACTACTCAGTAAGATCTGAAACTTGTCCCATACCCAAAACTAACTGTAATTTGCACAGTGGTCTTTCCTTGAGCCTAAGTTCTTACAGGGATACAGCTATACAGAAGCCTGATGATGGCAGATGAGATTCTGGAAAAATTACTTACTTGGCATTACGACCAGCTTAGTACCACTTCCAAATATGATCTTATTGTAGGTATTATACACAGTGATTTCTGCCTTGACAATTACATGATTTCCTATTTCTATCATCAATTTTAACTTCTTTTTGAAAAGCTAAATCTCTAGATTTTAGGATAAAAATGTCAAAGAAAACGGCTTGTGGAAACCCAAAACATCAGTTTGACATCTGTGCCTATAAAATACTTTTTTTTGGGCTCTGGTTTAATTCTTCACAGGTGTAAATCCACTCTCTGTCTTTTCTACTCCATAATTTAGAATATTTCCTAACTTTTACTGGGTTATCCAACTTGTTCAGGAAAACCCTTGATAAATATATTAGGATTTAATTTTTTTACAAAAACTAACAAGGAAGATGGAGGAAAGGCAAGGAAATCCCACGCCCCCCCAAAAACAAAAACAAATAAAAGCCAAAATTGGGAGGGGGGCACAAAAAGATAACAGAAAGAAGGAGCTTTGGATATTCTTTTCAACAATTATAAGTGCAAAATAACTTTTTGTGCTGACCACCATGGGAAAACTAACTTACTCGGCATTATGACCAGCTTAGTCCCACTTCCAAAGGAAATCTTGTAGCCATTGTTAGACACAATGCTTTCTGCCTTAACAAGAACATGCCTATTTGAATCAGGAAATAGAACTTTGTTCACAAAGACACAAAATAAAATATTGTGTACCAAATAAAATTAGAAAAATTTACTCGAGTTTGGACTAGAAGATCTCCAAGGTCCATTCTATTCTATTCTATTCTATTCTATTCTATTCTATTCTATTCTATTCTATTCTATTCTATTCCATTCCATTCCATTCCATTCCATTCCATTCTCTTTCTTATTCTATGCTATGCTATGCTATGCTAAGCTATCCTATTCTGTTCCATTCTGTTCTGTTCTTTTCTGTTCTATTCTGTTCTACTGTCTCCAAAAAGAAGTGGAAAGAAAATTAAAATATTGAAATATGGCAAGGAACAGATAGAAATACCAACATTCCCAAATCCTATCATGATATTTTCCTGCCAATAGCAGAAATTCACCTTTTGGGAAATGTAATTTGGGTCTTGGAACAAAATATTAAATGCCTATTTTATTATGCATTCAAAAAGGAAGGGAAGATTGTCTATGGAGATTCTCAGTCATCCCAGCTCATGGTTGTCCCAAAGGTGCTTTTCCAAAAGGCATGTAGATTTTCTTGGGTTTTTTCTCTTGAAAATGTTTCTTTTCTCATCTAAGAAGCTTCCTCAGTTCTGATTCAGAACTGAAGAAGCTTCTTGGAAGAGAAGTGAAACATCTTCAGGGAAAAGCAAATTCCAGTTGTCTCTTGAAAAAGCACCTTTGGGAAAACCAGGGCCTGAATGACTGAGAATCTCCATAGACAATAAGTGATTTTGTTAGACACTGTAGACTGCATATAAATTGGGGGTGAGCAAAAAAAGGACTCCCTTGTGCTAATGACAGTGGCAATAATAAAAAGCTAAACACTTACTTGGCATTATGACCAGCCTAGTCCCACTTCCAAATATGACCCCATAGTTGTTAACATTAGACACAGTGCTTTCTGCCTTGACAAAAACATGGCTTCCTATTTCTATCAGCACTTCTAACTTCCTACTGACAAGCTAAATCTATGGACTTTAGGATTAAAATGTGAAGGATTATGGCTGCTGAATATCTGAAGCCTCAGACCTAAGGCCTGAGAACAATAAAGTTAGCCTTAGGTCCTATTGTTGTCTCTCTCATAATTAAAATGTAGAAGGGACCTTCATCTTATTGCTGTTGCCTCAAAACTCTTATTTCTATAAGAAAGGCTTAGAAGGAGTCAGAATTGGCCTGGAACTCTAGAAAAACAGATCTTTGTCACAAATGTACTATCAGTTTATGTTAAAATTACAGGGAATTTATCTTTGGAAGACCTCTTCAGAAACTCACATGGATGAACCTTCAGCTCTGTTCCAGTTCCAAAATAATTCTAGATGTATCATAATTTATCACAATGATTTGGGTTTTAAATAAATTCATCAATTAAGTCAACTGATGAAAAGTTATTAAAATTATTTGTTTAACGCAAATGCCATCACTCTGCTAAACAAATAATTCCCTCAACACTGTCAAACTATTTACTAAATCTGCATTACTATTACTATTAATCTCCCCATCCTTCCTTTCACCCATCTCCTACCACTTATGACTGTATGACTGTAACCTTGTTGCTTGTATCCTAATGATTTTTATTGACTGTTTCCTAGTATGATTTGATTGCTTTTTGTACCCTATGACTATTATGTACACTGAGAGCATATGCACCAAGACTAATTCCTTGTGTGTCCAATCACATTTGGTCAATAAAGAATTCTATTCTATTCTAAAATAAAATATAATTCTGTAAAATACTTTCCATTGGGATTGTAGATTCTCTGTAAGTTTGAATCCACTCTGCCCTTTCAGTTCCCATAAATTAAAGGGTTTCAGTAATCTTTCTTGTCCCACCCTCATTATTGGGCAAGGGATGACTGTCAAGGGCAATTCAATGTGGAAAGGTTGCAAATCCAAAATTTGATTCAAAGGGCACCAAGATATTTTTGGGATCAAAGTTTCCTTATTAACTAAGCAGTCATTGACTTCATTGGCTCTTTGAGGAGAACCCAAAGATAAAATATTGAGAAGGTGGACATGGTTTATCACTTATATCTTTTATGTACACTGAGAGTTTATGCACCAAAGACAAATTCCTTGTGTGTCCAATCACACTTGCCCAATAAAGAATTCTATTCTATTCTATTCTATTCTATTCTATTCTATTCTATTCTATTCTATTCTATTCTATTCTATTCTATTCTACTCTACTCTACTCTACTCTACTCTACTCTACTCTACTCTACTCTA